TCTCTAGTTATTTATCAGCCTCCATGTCTGAGTAATAATTGAGTATGATGCATCTCTAGTTAAATTATCAGCTTCCGTGTCTGAGTAAAAATTGAGTATGATCTCCTGGTATGATATATCTCTAGTTATTTATCAGCCTCCGTGTCTGAGTAATAGTTGAGTATGATGTATCTCTAGTTATTTATCAGCCTCCATGTCTGATTACAGGACCACGAGGGTCACGTTCGCCGCATCGGTCGCTTCCTGGGCCGTGAGTTGACAGACGAGCAGGTGGAGGGAATTGTCGCACACACGACCTTCGACGCCATGAAGAAGAACGATGCGGTCAGCTACAAACGCTACACAGATAACACGAGCATCTCCTTCATCAACAAAGGTCAGTGTTCCGTGCTAGGGTTAGTGTTACGTGCTAGGGTCAGTGTTACATGCTAGGGTCAGTGTTACGTGCGATGTTCCCGGAACACGTATGCCCACAACGTTCCAGGAACATTCACGATTCTTCTGACGTTCTCTTGAACACACGTGCCGCTCAGGACGTTCCCGGAACACACGCGCTGCCCATGACGTTCCCGGAACACACGCGCTGCCCATGACGTTCCCGGAACACACGCGCTGCCCAAGACGTTCCCAGAACACACGTGTGAACCCCGACGTTCCTGGAACACACGCGTGAACCCCAGACGTTCCCGGAACACACGCGCCTCCCATGATGTTCCCGGAACACATGCACCTCCCATGACGTTCCCAGAACACACGCGCTGCCCATGACGTTCCCGGAACACACGCGCTGCTCATGACGTTCCCGGAACATGCGACTCCCCGATGTTCGTGAAACACATGCGACCCCCTTCGTTCCCGGAACACGTGTGAGTTTCACTTGACCTTTACGCTAACCCTTCTCTTCTCTCTCTGTCTGTTGCTTGCAGGTCAGGTGGGTAACTGGGTGTCAAAGTTCACTCCGGAGATGAGTGAACGCTACGACAGAGAGATTGCTGACAAGTGTGCCGCCAAGGGTCTCGTGTGGAAGTACTAGCTGCAGACACTAGGGTCTCGTGTGGAAGTACTAGCTGCAGACACTAGGGTCTCGTGTGGAAGTACTAGCTGCAGACACTAGGGTCTCGTGTGGAAGTACTAGCTGCAGACACTAGGGTCTCGTGTGGAAGTACTAGCTACAGACACTAGGGTCTCGTGTGGAAGTACTAGCTACAGACACTAGGGTCTCGTGTGGAAGTACTAGCTGCAGACACTAGGGTCTCGTGTGGAAGTACTAGCTAGAGACACTAGGGTCTCGTGTGGAAGTACTAGGTACAGACACTAAGGTCTCGTGTGGATGTACTAGCTGCAGACACTAGGGTCTCGTGTGGAAGTACTAGCTACAGACACTAGGGTCTCGTGTGGAAGTACTAACTACAGACACTAGGGTCTCGTGTAGAAGTACTAGCTACAGACACTAGGGTCTCGTGTGGAAGTACTAGATACAGGAGAGCCAAGCTACAGACACAGACAGACACAAGAACCTAGTTACAGACTATGAATGAAATGATATATATATATATACATATATATATATACACGATTATGAAATACATAATGACACTAATCATCCTGCAATGTGTGTGTGTGCTATGGTGTCTGTTGACTGTACGTGAAACCTGCTAATCTATCGTGAATCAAATCGTCTTGCACGAGTTGGTACGTAGGTTTCAACTGTAACAAAATAATAAAAGTTAGCCAACCTAGTTGACCAAACCGTCGTGTCATTGTATTTTTCCTGTGCATTTTCACCTCACACCCCGCTCGATGCATGCATTTGTTTGTTTGTGTGTGTGCGTGTGTGCGTGTGTGCGTGTGTGTGTGTCTCTGTGTACGTGGTGAGTCATAGAAGTAAACACAGCCAGAAGAGAGAGACGAACAAGCGANGCGGGTTTAATGATTATAAGCTCATCGCTATTAGTCTTTATTCTGCGGAGCACCCGCGGTAACCATGGTAACAACGATGCGATTACGGTAACCACGGTAACAACAATGCCTAAGTGGTACGAGTGGGTAACTGGCGGCATCGCCGGGAATGTCACGTGGGACCCGATGCCGAGAAAACAATACAAAATATTGCCATACGTTATATACATACACATGTGCACGCACGCACGCACGCACGCACGCACGCGCACGCACGCACACACACACACACGCACACACACACACACACACACAGGCACACATATATATTGTGTATACATAAATCGTAAACACATACGACTCCCGCGTGTGCGTTTATAAATGCAGATCTCTCTCTCTCTCGCGCTCTCTCTCACACACACACACACGTGCATATATATATATATATATACATATATATATATATTACTATTACACATCACACACACACATATATATATGACATGTGGTGTGTTGGAATCTGTAAACTGGCTTTAATGCTATAACGTGTACACAAACACACGGACACAAACGTTTGATCACTTTATACAGTTAAAAATACAGGAATAGCAAGTTGATTTCAGTGATGGGAATGCTTATATGCACTTTTGATTTGCAATTTGATGTAGAACGTGGGGGTAACATAATATTAATTAGTCATTATCATTATCATAATCATTATTATAATATATTATATTCACAGACGGGGCAGGATTACCACATCATACACCAGCGAGTTGCTTCTTAATGCTGCACCAACCCCACCTGGTGACCAGTCTGGCACATATATATAGCGGCGTTCGCTCGTTTCGCAAATTTTGACCCTCCTCTCTCCCAACGAGACAGAGGGCGCCGGATGTTTTCTTCCGTCGAAAACAAGCGAACGTCGCAATGCAGAACGCTGCCGCTACCGCCCCGCCGGACAGATCGCCAACGCCACCTGTTGGCTGAGGAATCGCCTCTCGAATGGTGACAGACGTGACGTAATAAATAAGTAGCGGTGGCAGTGGCCATTGGTGGCGCGTGGTACGCGCGTTTAGGGATGTACGCAGGCATGGTAACACATCCACAGGCACGAAGATACACGCGTACCGATGCACGCACGCGCGCGCGCACGATCTCACAGCTGCCCTTATTGCTATTGCTAACACATTCACAGCACGGACTCGGGATTCAACAACGGGCTAACGACGCCGGCGCCATCTTCACACAGGCACCCCCGCTGCGGCGCCCCCTATCGGCAGAGGCGCGACACTTGTTTTTACGTCACGAACGACGAGCGTGGAGGGGGTAAGCTGGTGAAGGCGACTAGGTCTACGTGAGGGGGCGCCACGGTACCACGCTACCGCTCGCTCACCTGCGCAACACAATCATGATGCTCTAAGTTTTTGCATTTAGCTTTAATGATGGCTTCAGAACGTGAGCGGGGGTCTCATCCTTCTCCTCCTGCTATCACTGCCTGTCTCCCCTTCTCTCTACCACTCCATATCCCTCCCTCCCTCTCCATCTCTTTACCTCTCCATATCCCTCCCTAGTTACCTTCTCTTTACTTCTTCATATTCCTCCCTCTCTCTTTACCTCTCCCTATCTTCCCCTCTCTCTTTACCTCGCCATATCCCTCCCTATCTTCCCCTCTCTCTCTACCTATCCATGTCCCTCCCTGCCTCCCCTCTCTCTATTTCTTCCTGCCTCCCCCTCTCTCTATTTCTCCCTGTCTCTCCCTCTCTCTACCTCTCCATATCCCTCCTTGCCTCCCACTCTCTCTATTTCTCCCTGTCTCTACCTCTCCATATCCCTCCTTGCCTCTGCCTCTCTCCATTTCTCCCTGTCTCCCACTCTCTCTATTTCTTCCTGTCTCCCACTCCCTCTACCTCTCCATATCCCTCCCTACCTCCCCCTCTCTCTACCCCTGCCTATCTTCCCCTCTCTCCAAAGCTACACTCCGTGTGAGGGGTGGTGATGGCTTCCTAGCAGGGCGCCCCGCTCTCTCGTTCATGTGGTGAATAATCGTGACACACAACCTATAAACAACGCGCGACGCATCACGCTCGCACGCGCGCACGAGCGCGGAGAGATAGCGTTAATAATTTAACAATACTTCAACACAAAATAGCGACAACTAATCGTCGGTTAGTCCCCCTTCTCCTCTTCGTTCTCCTCTTCTTCCTCATCTTTCTCCGCCGCCAAAAACAACCCGACGCTTCGACCGTTACTGAAATAGAGCTGCTCTCTTGTTTCATAAACTCGTAGTTTGGCGTCGACCAGTACTGGACAGAGCTGCTCTATTGTTTCGTAAACTCCTCGCGTTTCAGCACTCAACGTTTTTCGGCCGGTAACGGATAGCGCTGCTCTCTTGTCTCGTTCGGCGAGCCACTGCGTCGCTCCCGCATGCTGTGCCATCACACGCTCTTCTCCGCGGCAAATTCCTGCTGCGTGTTAGAGGCGCCACCTGTTAAGAAAGTCGTCCGCACGTCCAATTGTTTTGCAGTTCACTTTGTACACCAGGTGGCACTCCGGGCACCACTGCACGGTGCTGCCACCTATCGACGACGACGTCGTCTTCTCCTCCGCCGGGTGTCGCTACGTGTCGCTGCTGCTGTCGTCGCGACGCAACTGCTTCCCGCCGGCGCCCGTAGATGGCGCCACCACGGCGCGGTGCGGCATGTAGGGGGAGTCGGTGGAGCGGAAGTTTGGTCTTCGCAGTGGCAGGTGGTCGGTGCCCTCTGAGCGGTCGACCTTACCTAGAGACTTACGCCAGGACGGTGTACGCTGGATCGCGTTGCCGCCACTGCCGTCCAGCTGCACAGATAAACACACAGGTGAGTACAGGTAGATATAGGTGATTAACAGCGTTAGATATAGGGAGTTAGGTAGATACTAGGGTGAGTATGGTAGATATAGGGACGAGAGAAGTGAGGGGAGATATGAGTGAAGAGTACGAGAGGTAGGAATAGAGTGAAGAGGAAAAAGGGAGAGAGAGAGAGAGAGATGGAGAGAGAGAGGGGAGTGTAGAGGGGAGAGATGAGAAGATATAGGAGTGGAGAGAGAGTAGACCGGAGGGATGAAGAGAATAGGAGAGTGGGAGAAGTACAGAGGTGGGAGACTATGGTGAGAGTAGGGAGAGACAAGTACCAGTAGATATTAGATGTGAGTATAAGATAGATATAGGTAGATAATAGGGTGAAGTACAGGTAGATACTTATGTAGATATAGCGTGGTACAGCGATAGTATAGGTTGAAGGGTAAAGGTAAGAATAGGTGAAGTACAGCGTGATATGTGAGTGGTGAAGTACTAGGCGGAGGATAGAGAGGCGCGATGATGAGGGTCGAGAGAGAAGTGAACAGCATGAGAAGATGGAGTGAGGTGGATGAGAGGAGTAGATATAGTTGAGTACAGGAGGAGTGAGACATAGGTAGAGAGGAGTGAACAGGGTAGATGATAGGTGAAGTAGACGCAAGGGTAGATATAGGGAGAGAGGCGGGAGAGAGAGAGAAGAGAGGTGATCGAGGAGAGCTCGAGAGAGGTAGAGACGAGAGAGAGTGGTGATCGCAGCGCAGATGAGTCAGAGCGGAGAGGCAGAGAGCGCAAAGGGAAGAGAGAGCAGACGAGATGAGCGAAGAGAAAGAATGAGAGAACAACGCAGGGAGATGCGAACGCGGCGATGGAAGGCCGGTCCTCTTGGATTCGTTCTGCATGTTGAGTTTAAGTATGGAGGCCATTACTGCCAAAACCTACCTACTTTTAATCGCGCGCTTAAAACTGTATTTTAAGCGACTGATTGAATTCCAGCCAATCAGAACAGTGGTTTTAAGCGCGATTAAAAACCACTTGTTCTGAACTTAGGCTGGAGATTCAATCTGCACGCTTAAACATAGATTCTTAAGGGCGATTAAAATAGGTAGCGCTTTTGTCGTGTGTTGTGTGTCAGGGCGAATAATAACGGGGTGGATTCGGCTTGAGTAGTAGTATAGGTAGATATAGGTGAGTACAGGTAGATATAGGTGGGATGTAGGTAGATATAGGTGAGTACAGGTCTATAGGTGAGTATAGGTAGATATAGGTGAGTACAGGTAGATATAGGTGGAGTAATAGGTAGATATAGGTGAGTACACGGTGA